AATATAAGTTCCTAGACAACTGAGGTATTTCACATGCTGACTGTGTGCTTACACACTTAATGTCATACACAGTTGGGATCTCTATAACAATGTAACACATAGTAGACCTCTGCAACAAATGGGGAATTCACAACTAAGTGATACTGTGGTAGGATTATGGGTTCAATACTTTAATGCATGTACTGGGTTGTCCAAAAAGTCCGTTTACTTTCTTCCATAAAATAAAAAACACTTCTTTCATTTTCACCAATAACTTAATTGATTTTGACATTGTCAGATGTTGGCTATTTATTGTGTGGTAGAGCCTTGATTGTTCTCAATTAATGTTTTGATTTGATTGCTATTAACTTCAACTGGTTCTATCTGACTGTGGAGCATCATCCAGCATGAAATCTCCAGCACAAAATTTGGCAAGCCACTTTTAACACATTTCATCAGCTATAGCACCTTCTCCATATACTGCACAAATCTATTTTTTTTTTTTAGTTTTAGGCAGAGGGGAAGGGAGTGAGAGAGGGAGAGAAACATCAATGTGTGGTTGCTCCTCAAGTGCCCCCTACTGGGGACCTGGACTGCAACCCAGGCATGTGCCATGACTGGGAATCAAACTGCTGACCCTCTGGTGCACAGGCCAGCACTCAATCCACCGAGCCACACCAGCCAGGGCTGCACAAATCTATTTTTATATTTCAGTTGCATTTTTACCTTTCTTGAAAGAACAAAGCATAACATGCCAAAAACATGTGCATTTTCTTCCACCTTCAGTATTAAAATGCCTACGTAAAAATTCACTAATTTTGATTAGTTTTTTAAATGCATGTTGATATTACAGCTGTCACAATATGATCTAACAAAATTATTTCAAATGAAGTTAAAGATACCTAGACATAACTAGAGCCATCTTACAGAAAAAAAAATGAACTTCCAATAGTTGAAATGAGATATATGTACTGTATTTTCTGGTGAGTAGTTCTTGGTATATTAAAAAAAAATCTTTTTATAAAACAAATATATCTTTGCTACCTTATTAGACTTAAAAAAAACAGCACTGTTTATCCTGTGGACAGTTTTACAATATTGAAGCAATTGTTTAGTTTTGATTAGGTTTGCCAGCTTCTGGCGGGTGCTTCAAAGCAACATTTAAGGAGAATATAGTTAGATTGACTACTTTCATATGTACAAATGCTTCAGGCTTCCCTAAAATGACCTCTTAGATATTGTACCAATATTTACTTGAGATGTACAGAGCATTGACTAATATATGGGTGATGAAATTCTATTTTCCTACAAGCAAAATCAATATCAATACATTCTGTGACCTGTGAAAGATGATTTTAAAAGCTAAATACTCTTTTAACTTTACCTTGTCCGGGAATCACTTTATCTGCCCTTTCATTCTAAATGATAGCTTTGCTGGATAGAATAATCTAGGTTGTAGGTCTCTGCTTTTCATCACTTTGAATACTTCCTGCCAGTCTCTACTAGCCTGCAAACTTTCTTTTGAGAAGCAGCTGATAGTCTTATGGGAACTCTTTTGTAGGTAATTCTGCTATTCTCTGCTGCTGTTAAGATTCTTCCTTTATCTTTAAACTCTGGCATTTTAATTATAATATATCTTGGTGTGGTCCTGTTTGGGTCCTTCTTGTTTGGGACTACCTGTGCTTCCTGGACTCATATGTCTATTTCCTTCAAAGTAGGGAAGTTTACTTTCATTATTTTTTCAAATAAGTTTTCAGCTTCTTGCTCTTCCTCTTCTCCTCTGGTACCCCTATGATTCAGATGTTGAGACATTTAAAGATGTCCCAGAAGTTCCTTAGCTTAGCCTCATTTTCCTTGAATTATATTTTCTTCCTGCTGTTCCGATCAAATGCTTTATTCTTCCTTGTGTTCCAAATCATTGATTTGACTGTTGGCTTCATCCCCTCCGCTGTTGGTTCCCTGTAGATTGTTCTTCATTTCACTTCATGTAACCTTCATTTCTGCCTGGCTCTTTTTTATGTCTTGAAGTACCCAATGAGTTACTTGAGCATCTTGATAACCAGTGTTTTGAACTGTACATCCGATAGGTTGCTTATCCACATTCTGTTTAGCTCTTTTTTTTTTCTGGAATTTTGTTCTATTCTTTTATTTTGGTCATATTTATTTGTCTGGTCATTTTGACAGCCTCCCTGTGTTTGTTTCTGTGTATTAGGTAGAGTTGCTCTGATGCCCTGTCTTACTAGCATGGCCTATGGTAAAAAAAGTGCACACACATAGAAGTTATATGGGGCAGAGCCTTCGGTAATTACCAGGGAGGGGCAACTCTTGTCACAGCTCTGTTGCTCTGTATGGTGAAGGGCTTGGAGAGGGGACAATGCCACTTCCTGACTTCTGGAGTTTTGCCCTGGAGAAAGCTGTTTCCCAGCATTTGCCCTGTTGCCAATCATTTCATTTTTTCCCCATATGCCACTGGTGCCCTTCCAGCTATTATCCTGGTGGTGAATCCCAAAGGGGGTGGGTCCGTGTGAGTCCTAAGCCTGTTGCTGTCCCTTTAAGAGGATTCTCTTAAGAATTCTGCAGTTTCTTTCCCTGCTCCTGCCTCCACTGGCATTTACAGCTGGAAGTTATAGGGTCTCATCTTTCTGGAGCTGAAGCCCTGGTCTGTTTGGTCTTGTCTGGGGATGGGATCCCTCACTCCTGAGGTATGCCTCTCAATTTTTATGCACCACACATAGATGTGGAACTGCCCATTCCACGTCTCTGCACCTTTCTGCTCCTCACCACCTCTCTGCACCTTCCCTTCACATCTCCACCCCTCCATCCCTCTGCCTCTCTGCCTCTTCACCCCTCCTTCCTGAATGAATGTGTCTTAAGTCTTTGGTTGTTGGACTTCCATACAGCTCGATTTTTCTGATACTTCTTGGTGATATTTGTTTTGTAGTCTAGCTGTATTTTTTGCTATACTTGTGCAAGGAGGTGAGGTGTATTTACCTATACCTCCATCTTGACCAGAAGTACCAAATTATCATATATATTTTGATATATAAAGATAAATAATCCCCAAGTTTTATAATTGTATATGCTATTGTTTATTTGAACTTGTGGTAATTGTGTCCTTCTAAATTGTCCTAAGACATATATACAATCTCAACTGAAAAAAATTTGCTTTCAATGCATATTTAAGTTTAGTTTTAGGTTATTATCTAAACATTTTCCATATAGAACAAAAATTCCTCTCCCAAATAAATAAGGAGGTGCATCTTTTATGTCACTATTTATTATTGATAAACCATGTTGTACTTTTAGATACTAATTAGAGTCAGATACCAATATTTTATAGTGCTCTGTTATAAATGTGCCAGGGTATTTTCTTTTTAAAACACAGATTTTATTATTTTTTAAAAGATTTTATTTACTTATTTTTAGAGAGGGGAAGGGAGGAAGAAAGAGAGAAAGAGAAACATCAATGGGTGCCTATCATGCACCCTTTACTGGGGACCTGGCCTGCAACCCAGGCATGTGCTCTGACTGGGAATTGAACCAGTGACCCTTTGGTTCACAGGCTGGAACTCAGTCCACTGAGCCACATGAGTTAGGGCCAAGATATTTTCAAAAGAATTATATCTTCAGATATTTCTATAAACATGGAATTTCTACAGATAGCTATTTCTATAAGATATGATACTCCTTAAAAGTTTGTTATTTGTATTTACCTATAAATTTCATTGGTTACATGTATCTCAAGATTCTGAAAACAGGAAAACTACATATGAGAAGGAATAGACACCATTTTTAAACTAACTTTCCCTGATTTCTGGATCATTAAGCTTACTTATACTTTCCTCTTCTGGATCACCCACTTACTTAGAAATTTTAACTTCCCAAAGGAGACATCTGTCCTAATCCTCCTCTTTTGAGTATTTCCCAGATAGATAAAACATTGAAAGAACTCAAAGCAATAAACTGATTAGAGGAATTTTTAATGGATCTAAACATAATCTAGGGTATAAATATTGGGGTTTGGTTTATTTTAAATGTACAGATTTATCTATTCCATCCTTCATAATGTCTTCTTTATTTCACTACATATAGAAATGTCTATGATAACTATGAAACTAGAAAATACATTGTAAAAGTATAAAATTTTAGTTTGCATTACATTTCAACCCAGAATTGTGGCTACTCCCAAGCACTGTTCATTATCTCTCTTTTTCTAATTTAGTTTCTGTGATGTTTATTGGATACTCTGCAGGCATAAAAATGTCACTTCTAATACACACCCCTAGCCCTTGCTCAGGGTTGGGAGGAAACCACCTTCCAGGTGGTTGCTTTCCTTTTGAGAAATCATATAGCATTTCATCCAAAGTGAAAGATTTAAAAAGAATACAGAAATAAAAGTATAAACTCTACTAATAAAACAAAATACGCAAAATTCTTTGAAACAGGTGAGAAGTGACTGAATTTAAAAAATCAGTAACTAGTGAGACAGTGTCACAAATTACTTGATTTTTTAAGTTGCTTTGTAGTAAAATGCATGTTTCTGTTTTCCATGTTTTTTAAACATTATTTTCTAAATATATTTTTTTAGCTACCTGCTTATTCTAGCAGTTAGACACAGATCTGGCTTATAGTGCCATGGAAATATAGGGTGAGTCCCAACTTTTCTCAAAACATGCTTGAGGAAGACGAAATCCAACAGTAAGTTTACAACAAAATGAAAAAACTAGAAGAATTGGAAACTTGTGATCCATCAATTTTAAGAAATAAAGTTTCATCTGTACATACACTCCCTGTAACTGCATAATTCATACCTACAACTATAACCATAAAAGAGTAGCAAGTACAAACCTTCAGGACATAAGAAATTGGTTGAAGGGATATTGACAAAAACTAAATAATAACTCTTTTCTTAAAACATTGACAAATGGTTTTATGCACATTAAAAATATCAAGAAATGCCAAATTATAGAAAAAAACAGCAGTTTTGCCTAAAGATTTTATGATGAAGCAGTTCATCTTACCTCTGCCACCAGCTGCTGAAGAGATGGTGAAGCCACAGAATGTAGACTTGAGTTGCCCTTCATGGGGCTGTGGAGACTAACATAAGCAACAACATTTCTCTGCAGAACTTTCTTGAAATCCTACAATCAAAAAAACAAAAAAACAATCTTTCTCTAGCATAAGTAAAAGTAACAGGTTCTGTTTAATCTGTTACATATTGAATAATAAACACTATCTACTTAGAATCATGACCTTGCAGTTTTTTCAAGTAATTTCATGCCATTAAATAAGAATACAAAACTCATAAAAGGATTTTAAATACATGTGGTAAGGAGTTAAATACAACATTTTGATGAAATATTTCAAAGCATGTTCTTGAGGAAAGTCAAATTTTAAGGGAACATATTCTTTAGCAGTTAACATGTGAGGAGATTCACCTCCAGAACACATAGCAGAATATTTGTTCTAATGGTGGCACTTAATGTTATAGCCTGGGAGTTAGGCAACAGACAAGGGAAAGCTAATCCAGTGATTAATAAACCAGTGTTTCCCTTGAAGCAGCAGGATGCTTTCTGCACACAGTAAATCTTTATTGAGAGCAAAATAGAGCATAATGCAATTGTGTCCTGGCCCATTTTACCTGAAATACAACCTGATGCATTTCACACACATTAGGAACATGAAATATTTCAATAGAATAGTTTTTTCACTTCTCTGCTGAAACCTAATCCCCCATATTGACCATTAGCTACCCTCTTAATAATGTATTACTACTAAGAAATCCCTTTGATATTTTCTCTCTTTCTTGAACAAATATTTAGTGAGTAATTACCATTGGTAGAGTTCAAGAAAAATATCCTAAAAATTGTGTTACTTCATGTCGTAGGAATACCTGTTTCTTCTTCCAAAGACTGCAAGGACTTTGAATACCTATGAAATCAATGGGATTCCTAGTTTATCTTGAAAATTCAGCTATACCTCTATAAGAGAGGTGAAAAAACAATTCATTACTAAGTATTTTTTAAAAAGAAACAATAAGGTTTAAACTCAAGTACTTTGCTTTACATATGTTTTTTAAAAAGCCCAGTGTTACACAAGCACTATAGAAAAACAGCTTCTATTTCTACACTAGCTCAGGTAAACAGCTAGTTTATATGTTAGTCCATTTAATTCTCAAGGGACTCCTGATACAGGTCTAAGAGTACTCATTTGATAAATCAAGTCTTGCAGGAAACTATGAGTTTTCTGGCAGAGAAGATTTGAACTCAGACTTCTTTGACTATAAAAGTTGTGGCATTTACACAATAGTCTGTGAAAAATAAAGATTCTTCACAGAAGAAATGGCATTTTTAAAAGAATTCATTTAGTAAAGTGTTGTGATTCTCTCCAAGGGTGAGGATCAATATTGCATCAATACTCTAATAACACTATCACTATAAAATTTCATTTTTAATTTTATTGACCAAAATCACTTAATTGCTTTAATTAAATCTGTGGATTTCAGAGGGTTCTTATGCAAACAAAATTAAATGGGAAAATATGAAAGCTTAACACATTTTTTCCCTCACTCATCTTCATTTGGGAATATATTTTGAGCACAATCTGGTTGTAGTCTAAAAGAAAATGTTTCATTTTAATAAGAGTACATTTGATAAGAGTAGACAAAACAAGAAAACTAATAGCTTTTTAAATTCCTTTTCAACTAAATGTTATGATATTATCTTCATAAACTGTACTGAAATAATCTTCTAAGATATGGTACCTTAAAATAATATGTTTTAAAAGCTAATAATTAAATCAATATATTATTAAACATCTTCTTACTCATATATCTTTGCTTAAAAAGTCATGAGAAAATCCAGAAAGTGATTAAATGCATAATTAGTTGTCAAATATGCACATACACATAAATATTCTAGGACACAGACTCCTAATCTTATAGAATAGAAAGGGGTTTTCTAACATAACTACTTTTTTCTATGGACTTCCAAATTACTGTAAATTGTAATGTTAGTATCTGTTGAATGAGAAAATATAAAGTCACCAAAAGGCACAACAGATTAAGCAAAACCTAAAAAATGATTTGTACTTTATTAACCGCAAAGGTATATACTAAATTAAAATAATAATAATTGCTCACATACAGCCAAGGTCACATAATTGATTCAACTCCCAGGCCACAATGCTTGATGCCAAAACAAACTCAAGACCTTTGGCAATACACTCTCTCATATATAAGGATTCAAGATATTTAAGTTAGGAAAGATAATGTTAAATAGATAAACCTCTTTTGAGAACATATCTTAGAAATATACATATTACTTTAGGATTAATGTGAATTTATTGTGAAAATTACTAGATAGGTATCAAGAAGACTATATAACACAATAGAATAAATCTTGAGAAATTAAAAATAATCTTCAAGACACCTTAAAATGTGCCTTATTATTATAACAAAATTAAAACTTTTTCTTTCTGATAAATATATTCTGAATTAATGTCAGCCCAGATCATAAATCTATTCCTCAATTTTTAAGCTTATTTATATCATTTAAAATAAGTAATTTGGAATAGATGTTTGGGAGGTTGGTTTAGTTATTACATTTTCCATCTTATTAAAAATTGGTTAATTTAAAAAACTTATTCCATAATTAAATTTATACATTTGAATTAGGTTTTTTGAATATAGAACAAGCATTCACTTCATCAATTTACATATGGAAAAGCATTCTAATCTGTAATGTGTGAATCTTGATAAATTTTACACTATAAATTTTTCTCAATTTTAAGAGTTTCTTTCCTTCAAATTAAAAACACACTTGCTATTTTCTTATATATATGTTTTTGATGTTTTCTTCGACATTCAGTAAATATTCGATCTTTTCTAGAGGGCTTAAATAAAAAAATGAAATGAAAAACAAGAATATTTCTCATTAGATATTTAGATTTTTTCTCCAAAGCTGAGTTCATGGTAAGTTAAAGTGCTTTTATTTTCCTGACTAAATCTGGATCCTTTTTTTTTTTCTCTACATGTTTCTGTGTGCCTCTTTTTGCCTTATTCTTAAACATATTTTTCCTTTTTATTAAATATATTGGAGTGACACTGGTTAACAAAATTATTCAGGCTTCAGATGCACAATTCTACAGCATATCATCTGCACACTGCACTGTGTGTTTACTCCCTCAAGTCAAGTCTCTGTGCATCACCATTTATTCCCCCCATACTCATCTCTACTTCCCACTCCACCTTTCCCAACTCCTGGCAATCACCACATTGTTGGCTGCATCCACGAGATTTTCTGTCCTTTTCTTTCACCAGGTCTCTCTACCACCCCTACCCAGTGTCCCTCCTCCCAGCGGTCAGCCAGCTCTCCGTGAGTCTGTCTCTATTTTGCTTGTTAGTTCTTTTATTCATTACATTCCATACCATGCCAAGTGTGCCTGATGTTGTTTACACTTCTTTAAAAAAACATAAAAATAAATAGAGCATCTAAGAGTTTTACAGTGTTTTCATTGTTGTTAATATGGCATCAATCTGGTAATCAGCTGTCATATTCCACTAAAAACAGTGCATTTATAAAACACAGACACAGAAGCATTTGAAACTAAACATTCCCATTGTTTTTTAACCACGATCCATTCATTGGGACAAAGGATTTTTAAGATAGGTAGGTATTTACATAGGTAGGAAAGAAGGAGCAGGAGGATAAGGAATGGTGAGAGGAAGAGAAGAGAGAGAAAGGGGTAAAAACTCTATATTGAGTCCAGTCTCCATATTTCATAGTTAAGTTATGATGCTAAGGTTATAAACACTAACACAGGAGATCATTTCCTAATTTTAGATATTTGCTAAAAAGTTTTACAAAGAAAGGTAATGGTATGTAGCGCCTTATCTTTTCATGTCCTGTGCCTGTCAACCTGTCTAAGGAGAGATATACGATAGCCAGGTAAATACTATTGTGAGTATATTAGCATCTATAGATATGGAGGAAACAAGAAGAATAAGATAGTGTCAGATCATACACAATTCACTGTAGTCTAATTCATGGATCCCCAACCCCAGGTCACGCCTGTTAGGAACATTTTAAGAACCTGGCTGCACAGCAGAAGGTGAGTGACAGGTGAGCAAGCAAAGCTTCCCTTGCATTACAGCCTGAGCTCTGCCTCTTGACCCCAACCCTCCACTACCCTGTCTGTGGAAAAACTGTCATCCCTGAAACTGGCCCCTGGTACAAAAAAGGTTGGGGACTGCTGGTCTTAGTAATCTCCCCCCTCCTTTTTTTTTTTTTTTTTTTTGCTAGAGAGAGGAAGGAAGAAAAAGAGAGAGAGAAAAACAAATAACTGAGAAATGCCGATGAACTGCCTCTCGTATGTTCCCCAACCAGGGATGGAACTTGCAACCTAGGTATGTGCCCACATTCCTACATTGAGCCCACAGCCTCTCAGTGTGTGGAAAGACACTTCAACCAACTGAGCCACAGAAGCTGGGCCATTCTTCTTCATTTCTGGAATGATTTCAGCAACCTAGCAGATATGACATCTGGGCTGAGATGCACATTCTTTCTTATCCATGGCTTCAACAATTTTACTGTCTGCTGTTAGGGGCCATCCTGCCTGGTTTCAGGGACTGAAGATTCCTTAATGGACAAAAGGGTCCAACAGCAAGGGCTGAGTGAAAAGGCCTTAGGGACATAAGCTGCTAAGGAGACAAAAACCTATCCCCTCTCACATATCCACCTGCTTGGCCTGGGTGGATGACTGGCTAGCCAAAAACAGGTAAGATTCCTTAAGAAAGAAACAAAAGAAGACAGGCATAGTTGCAAAGGGACCATCAGGGAAGGACTTAGGGGAATATAGAGAAGGGACAGAAAAGACCCTCATCCCTCAGCTGTGTCATAGTCTGCGTCTTCATTCTATCTGTAAGAAGTCTCCTAATCTCTTGACTGCTTTGCTCCCTCCACCTGACTCAGCCCAAAAACAATGCCAGAGGCAGTTGCAGGCTTATACTGGAACAGATGGCTCCTGGGAGCAAATCTGGCCAGAGAAAGAATGTACATTGTTTCCTTTGAGGCTTGCTCAATAGCCCTGTTGGTATGAACCAGACATTTGAGCTCAAAGCACAGAGAGTGAAACTCCCCAACTCATGACACTCGCTTCAACAACCTTCTGGCCTCAGTATATCCCACCAACCCTGACCAGAGACACTCCCTGTGTTTCTTCAATTATTATCTGTAGATGATGTCAGTTTTTCATGACTATAGCTTTTTGAACATTGACTGATGTACATACTATGTGCCTTAGTGTGAACCTAACTTAATAAAAGCCCATTGAGAGAGGCAAAAGGCCCTTTTCCTCTGAGAGATTGGCTACCTTTCCTCCCCATGCAGATCATGTATTGGTAGACTTATTCTCTGTGGGCAGAGTCCCCCCACAGTTTGCTATATCCCCCCACAGAGAGGGTGATTGAGAGAGAGAGAGAGAGAGAGAATACTAATAAATATACATTTACCTCTCCCCATTCATATGAGCCAATATTGCCCCAAACGGTTCCTCCCCAGGAACAAAAAACAATACTGCGGTCTGGTCTCCACCCTCTCTTAACTCTGAACATCAAGGCCTGGATAAAAGCTGTGATCACAGCGGTGCTACTGGCCCATTCTTGTCCACTGTAACTGGATGCTGTGTGATGGTGGCTGCCCACTATGACATACCGGTCTGGAAATAGAAAGACACAGAGCCATTTAAACAAAATATAAACCTTAACAATAAATTTAATGACATTTACATAATCCCATTGCACAACTGAGCAACAATTATGCAAAATTGTTCTAATAGTTAAGTCTACTTTACATTTTTTGAGCCTCTGTCTTGATTCACACATCTGTGTATATCAAAGCAGAGGCAGCTGCTGAACCCAATTATGAATCCAAGGCTTAGATCCATATTGCTGTCCTCTGCGACATGCATATTAATTAATGAGGTATACAAATATGCCACAATCAAACATTTATCTAACATTTTCCCAGAATCATAGTGGGAAGTGCCCTGTAAACAATGTGTGTATGCTCAGTAAATATTAATGAACTATTAATACATTGAGGGAGCAGTTATTTAGTAGCTGTAAACATTAAAAATGTGGTAGTCATGTATGGATTTTGCAATAACTGAAGTATTTAGGAAATTAATTACAGATTCCAAGTTGTAATTTTAGCCTCTCTTTTTTTCAAAATCAACAACATAAAAGGCATCCCATTATTATAAAATTTCCTTTTCAGATATTTTATTTTACATAATTACACAAAATCTATTGGATACACTATTAGAAATGTCTCAATGACACATGGATGTGGCTATACAATGTAATTTTCTGACTATTGTCATCAATAAAGTAGACTAAAAACATACAGTTTTTTCTGATTTTCTTATCAATGAATGTTACTGGTACAGAGCTAAATGTATTAGCTTAGTGGAGCTACTCATTTGTCTCATGACTTGAAGCTTGAGTGTGCAGACTCTGAAGCCTGCCTGCATGGACTTGAACCCAGGCAATTCATTGACTAGTTGTGTGGTCTTTAGTAAACTTGTTTAATTAACCCTTCTGTGTCATAATTCATTCAACTATAAAATGGGAATGAAAATAGTACATGCATCATTATTTTTTTTAGTTTTAAGTGAGTTACTATTTGTAAAGCGGTTTGAACAGTGTCTGACACATATTAAATACTGTGTTTTTTTTGGAATAATTTAATCTTCAGTGACTTATGGTATCACAAAGCTACCTCTTGGAAAAATATCACTGTTTGAGCTACTTTGGTTTTCCACACTGATATTGAAGCCAGCAATGACTTTTATCTGCCAACATCTCATCAAAATTTAATTAATGGTATTCATAGTGTGTCTGCAAATGCTGAAACCCTGGGAATTTATTCACTCATATCCCAGATATGTGTGAAAGTTCTGTTTGGAATTGTCTTTAGTCAAAATAAACATCTAAAACCCTAATACTGATTGAGATTGTTTCTAAATTTCAGAGTCATTAAAAATTATGTGATATTTTTGTGTAGAATTCAAATACACAAGATTTGAGAAGCTTTGCTGATATGCACTGAAAAATACTACTGGCACATGAGTTGTTATTGTTTTCTATGTTGGATTTCAATAAAAATGTTTTTACCCTAAAGCTAACTTAATACTGTATTATTTGGTTTTTCAATAATAACTTGCAAATGCAGCAATGTTGATAAATATAAGGGTGAGTAAAAAGTAGGTTTGCAGTTGTTATGGAAAAAGACATGCAGGTTATGATTAATACAATAACTTTATTAACTGTGTTTTGTGTACTAATAAATGGAAACCCACTTTTGCCAACTTCTGTATTTCTAGGGTTTCAATTAGAGATCCTTATGATGAGAATTTGTTAAAATGCAATGGTAACCATTTTAAAAGTTACTTATGGTTTGTGTGATGAGAAGGAGTTGCTCATTATTGCTACTGGAAGGAAATCAGAGAGAATATTCACTTCCCCTTAATTTTTTAAGAGTTGGCTGCCAAGAAACTGGGCGGATATAAAATTGATCTCAGAAATTCCTGAGTTAGCAATTATAGAGTCGATTTGATGAATGTCAAAGAGAACAATAATTGTCCAAGTAGAACTTGAGTAAATGTCCTATTCAAATTAACAGAAGTGGCCCAAGTGCACTAAGAAGGTTGCTGCATTCTATGCTGTATAACAAGCGCATTAGACAGTAATATGTGATTCAACCTCACAGTGTATTGGGAGGTGTTGCTACTAATCTCTTAATATATGTATTAGTTATTTTTACTTTTTGAGCTTTTATCACATCACCTCAAGGTTCAACGAGCATCCTATAACAATGATTAAGTTCTTTGAAATTTAACCAGATGATCATTTTCATGAGCACCTTTAAACCTAAAGCCACGCTGACACCAGGCAGAGACATCAGTGGACTAAAGGTCAGAGATGAGACATAGATTAATGTTAAAAGATTAGATTTGAAGACAAACAAATATTTTTAAAAACCCACACCATTAAAAGTCAAATATTTTATTTTTAAAAGTCTTTTTTTTTCTGTAAATGAAAATGCTTTTAATGATGTTATGGTGAATAAAAGAAAATAAAAAAAACATTGGTGTTTACAGCTCTTTTTTTTCACCAGGCACATGGCAGTTTAACAAATTTGAACTTTGTTTTCTGTCTGTTTTTATTTCTTCCTTCCACTCTCTACTGTGATTTATTATTGAAGAGATATAGTAAGAAGGAAAATGAAGGCTTGTTTCTTGATTTCATATTGGCACCTCTTAGAGTGGTATAAACTTCTGGCTAAATGCAAACCGGGATATTTAACTATGCTATTCAATTATTACAGAGCAACTCTTTGTAATATTCATATAAAGTAAGATTATAAACTCTTCACCTTACTTACCTGGAGAAGTCAAACCTTTTAAATACCCAACAACATTAGTAACTGTTTTGAATTCTGTGACTGTCTGAATGTGCATGCTGACAATTCTTTCTTCTGGAAAAAAAAAAGATGAATTTGTTCTCTGTATTTTTGTGTCTTTTCTTAGAACATTCAAAGTTACTTATCAAATTAAATTGTTACTTTAATTTGAACAATTAAATTTTTATAGATAACCAGTTACACTTTGTGGACAAATATTTATTCAACACTTTGTATTGACCCTATTGTAGGTACTTACTATGCAATGATGACAGAGATACAACTGCTAAAGCCTCATAGAACTGCAGAGCCATAAATAGGCAGTTCTCACCCTTGCATTTAGAGATACAATGGGGACCAACAAGGGAGCACACAGTAGACGACCTTGGGAAGATGTGGGCAACTCATATTTTTAAAGACATTTTAAAAATGTATTAAAATATTTCCAAAGAATTTTAATTTTCTGTAATGTCAGAAAAAGAACATGTGGAAGATAAACTGTTCTATATGGTTCATTGTTACATTTTCACTTTGAAAACTATAAAGTATTACACAAATTAAAAGACTATAGATTCTGTCCTGGCTGGAGTAGCTCAGTGAATTGAGCATCAACATGTGAACCAAAGGGTAGCTGGTTCGATTTCCAGTCAGGGCAAATGGCTGAGTTGCAGGCCGGGTCACCAATAGGGGGTGCACAAGAGGCAACCATACATTGATGTTTCTCTCCCTCTATTTCTCCTTCCCTTCCCCTCTATCTAAAAACATAAATAAAATCTTTAAAAAAGTATACAGAGTCTTAAAACTATACATATTTTAAATATTGGATTCATTTCAACCCATGTTTGGAGGTCTCTCTCCAAATACATTGGTGGATACATTTGAAACATCCACCAATTGCTCTGCCTCTTTGACTTTTTCTACTTATGCTTGATATTCAAAATTTTGATAACAATTAAAGCAGATTTTCTACTTAGGTGGGACTCCATTCATAACCCTAAAGTGGTCTTTGAAGGCTTTTGGTGGCAACATGTGTTAATCCTGTATTTTATAGATTCTACCAGTCAGATTCTGGAAGTCTTTAGGGGAGATTCAGGGGCAGCCAGGTGGTGTGGCTCTAGGGTGGGGTGGGAGGCAATAATAAAGCAGCTAATTCAAAACAGACATGCTATAGTACTGACAAGCCCTCAAGTGTCACTTCTGACTGCTAGGAACTGCTGTGATAAAAGCTGCTTCCTCCCTGAACATACCCCACTAACAACTTACATGGAAAACCAGTACAGTGAATCTGTTACAAGTATAACTAAAACAAGAGGGAATGTCTGGGTGCCTCATGTTTAAAAATGGAGAACAGTTTAAAGCCTGAGATTGTAGTTTTAATTTAGATGCTACGCAATTTTTAGAGCACCCTCAGATTTACAGAAAAAAATTAACAGAAAGTAGAGTTTCCAAATTATCCTCTCTCTCCCGCCTCCGGTGACTAACATCTTGCATTAGCATGATGTATTTGTTGTAGTTGATGAGCCAATATTAATACGTTATTATTACTGAGCTCCATACTTTCCATTAGGGCTCATGCTTTGTATTGTACACCCTTATGGATTTTGACAAGTGAATAATGACATACATCCATCATTACAGAATGTTAATCATATCCATCATACAGAATAGTTTCATTGCCCACAACATCTCCTGTTCTTTACATATTCATCCTTCCCTTCTTCCCTTTTCCCTGAGCCCTTGGCAACTAGTGATCTTTTAAATATCTCCATATTTTTGCCTTTTCAAAAATGTCATGTAGTTGAATTTATGTTTGCTTTTAATATTGGTTTAATTCCCTGTTCTCAGCTTGTTCCAAATAGTCCAGATAAATTAATATTAGATAAAAGTCATTACCATATAGTTTTAAAACATCTTTCTAGCTTATTTTTGAGTTGAATATGAATGAAGAATTTTCTCTGGTTTTCTAAGGTTCAGTATCTTTTTTTTTTTGTAATTCAGCAGTTAGAAAACCTTACAATATATACAAATGTGCATTATACTGCTTGGAAAATTATCTTACTTTAATAGAGTGCCTTAAAATTTCTAATAGCCATTTTCACACACATATACTAATTTTCATTGTACATCAATAATCCTTGCAAGCACCAATTTAAACAGCTTCTATTATCTTATTTATTGAATGAAGCTCGTAGGAGCAAAACTGGGACTCAAACCCAGGTTTTCACATAAATAACACTTTTATCTGAACAAAAAAAGCCTCTTTTACTGTAAGACTCCAGTTTTTATTATGACCATTCCTCATATATAAAAGAATAAAAAATAATACAATATACAACGATGACTTACATGTCGCTTTAACATCTAATTTTACTACATTTTCATCAATACCCTTTTCCAACAAGCAAGTATACAGTCTTATAAATTCAGTTCTTACTCTGAGATTAATGTTAATTGTTTCAAGTTTTTTGTTATATAGAGATAGATAGATAGATATAGGTAAATATAGGAATAGGCATAAACAGACACATAAATAATTATTTTACAGGCTATGCCATATTATACCAATAATGACATTTTTACTTAGCTCTAAAATTTTTATAGCCTTTCATAGAAGGAAATGGAGATCTGTGTCACTCCTTTTACCTGCTAAGAGGTATTTGGTTGTAGCATCCATCCCAGTTTATTTTGCAGTTCTGTTACTGAGATTTATTGAGGTAATTTACATGTTTTTAATATTATACTATGCCAAAGAACTTCTTTACATTTCTTGTGTGTGTGTGCTGTACATTCACAAATAGATAATTCGAAGTGTAATTTCTTTTTTTTTTTTTGAGACGGTTGGCTCACATTTATTGAGTGCTTGCTCTACTCCAGCCATTGCTACATGTGATATTCATGTGCCTATTTTGCAGCTGAGAAAACTGAGGCCAGATGGGTCAAGTGGCAGCCTGACCAGCAAGAGCTGGATTCAGCCGTCTGACCCACACCCTTCACGGTCAATGCTTCTTCTTCTTTTTTAAAAAAATTTTATTTAATTATTTTTCAAGTACAATTTTCTATCTATTTCTCTCATCCCAGCACACCCCGCCCCGTGCTCCCCGCCTCCCTCCTATTTCCACCCCTCTTAGTTCTTGTCCTTGAGTCCTTCATACTTGTTCCTCCAAATCCCTCCTCTTTTTCCCCTTAAATTCCCTCCCCTCTCCCCTCTGGTCACTGTCCCCTTGTTCTCTATTTCAGTGTTTTTTGTTTTTATTCTGCTTGCTTATTTGTTTTGTTGTTTAGCTTCCTGTTAAAGGCAAGATCATATGGTATTTGTCCCTGAATTACAATACAGTATGGGTAGCTTCAACTATATTTGGCATGTAGAAATTTCTCCACAGACTTTTAAATTCTGATATTTTTATGTGTACAGGAATCTCATTATTGCTTAATTTTGCACTGCTTTGATTAGTAGTGAGGTTCAGCAATTTTTAATTCTAGTTTTTATTATATATTTTTTGACCATTTTCCTTTTAAGCATTTATCAATTGAGGCATTTTTGTGGGGTTTTAATTTGATTATTTACTTATTATATGTTTTATAAATTCTTTTCAATCTGTGATTTTTATTTTCTTGATATTGTATTTTAAAATATTAATGTGGTCAAATTTATCAATATTCACCTTGAATATTTGTGGGGTATATTTGTTTTGTGTTGGTGAGGGAACCTTTATTCTGATGTCAGGAAATGTTTTCCAAATATTTTAAAGTTGAATTTTTAAATTTATATATTTAATCCAGCCAGAATCTGTTATGAAGTAGACTTTCAACCTTACCTCTGTCTCATGGATAGCCAATTATTCTCATGCAATTTATTGAAGTATTTAATTAAGCTGCTGTCATATAATAAGACCTAGTTCATACATGGATTTGTTTATAGTCTTGCCATTGCATTTTATTTTAACCAGTGCCATACTGTTTAAATTAATACAATTTTTTAATGAATGAAAAGGTGGGTCTTCTTTCATCATCATCATTATAAACATGTAGTATTATTATTCAATATTGGGGATATTTATGGACCGTCATTTTAATATGAACTTATATATTAGTTTGTCATGTGTTATTAATAGACCTCTCAGGATTTTATGGAGATTCCATTGTATTAGTGGACTCATTTGAGAAAATTACATTGTCTTCTATCCATGAATATGTTATGCCTCTCAATTTATTTTGATTGTTTTTATATCTTTTAATTAAGTTTTATTTTTCTTCATCAAAATTCTGCACAGCTATTATTAAGTTTATTTTTACAGTTTCTCTATTAATAAAATATACTTGTATAGCTCATTTTATTGTGTATAAGTATGCTATTTAATTTTGTATCTTGGTCCTACACGGAGCCTTCTTATTAATATTTTATAGGTTCAAATGGGGGCCCTATAGAGTTTTTATTTCCTTAGTTTCAATCTAAACAGTTACTTGTCACAAAAGGATAGTTTTGTTTTCTTCCATTCACATTTTTATAGCTTTGAGTTACTGGTTTTATCATCCTGTCTGCGACTGTCAATGCAGTATGGGATACAGGCAGTAAAAGCAGCTTTTCTTGGTGCTTGCTTTGTGTTCTTCACTTTAAAAAAATGTTTCTAAGATTTTATTATTTTAAAAAAGACACTTGCTATATATTTCTGGAAAATTTCCATGATCAGATTAGAAAAATCATTTCTGTTCTTACTTTGCTAAGAGGTTCTATTCTGAATAGATGTTGAATTGTGTTTTGAGATAATTGTAAGATTTTTCACTTTGTGATGTTAAATAAAATTCATATATTTCTGGAATAAGCTCTACTTCATCAAAATTTATAATTTGTATTTCGTTATTATTTTAGGATATTTTCAAATATATTTGTAAGTAATTAGTTGATAATTTCACTTATCATTTGTCTAAATCTGATATCTGTGTTATACAATCTCATAAATATTTAGAAATCTCTGCCTTTTTTCCCAGATTCTATAAGAGTTTATGTAGCATGGGAAATTATCCAGCTTACAAAAGGAGTGCTGGGATTCACATACAAAACTATTTGATCCTGGTAT